GTTTCCTATTAAACATCAGATAAAATATAAAATCTTTACCCCGATTTATACAGCCTTGCTCATTGGCTCAGCTGGTGAATAATCTGCATGCAATGTGAGAGACCTGCATTGGGAAGATCCCCTGGAGAAGGGAACAGCTACCCATTCCAGTGTCCTGGCCTGGAGAATTCCATGGACTGTATAGTCCATGATGTTGCAAAGAATCAAACATGACTGAGCAACTTTCACTGTTAATTTTTCTTCTTGGTACTTTCCTTCTGTGTTTCACTTACCTTAGACTCTTTCTTGATGTTTTACTTTTCCTTTGAAACATTACAATCTACTACCATGTAGCCTCAACACACACACACACACACACATAGGCTTTACATGTTTAAATAACAGGCATCTCATCCTTAACATCTCAGTTGAAAGCCTGGGAGGTACTTTCTAACCATCTTTTCTCTCTCTGTCAAAATTATTCTGAATTTTTGCACATTGTTTCTTCTTGACACTCACAAAAATGGATTTGTATGGCACGTTGCTCGTTTGCTTTTTCACTCCTTTATGGAGTTTCTTCTTCATGGTAGTCTTCAGGAGGACACAAAACATTTATGTCTTGCTGACTAGAACCTGTGCTGCACTTACAATTTGCTTTGCATACCACTCATTCAATAAATGCATTTTAAGTGTATATAAAAATGTGATATCTATTATATATTACTAAAGATTATATTATATACTATTGTATGTTAAATACATTCAAATAAATTATTGTATTATGCATGCCCTCAGTCACTCAGTTGTAGCTGACTCTTTTGTGACCCCATGGACTTTAGCCCACAGGCTCCTCTGTCCATGGGATTTTCGAGGCAAGAATACTGGAGTGGTTTGATGTTTCCTCCTCCATGGGCGCTTCCTGACCCAGGGATAGAACCTGAAACTCCTTAGTCTTCCCGTATTGGTGGGTGGATTCTTTACCACTGAGCCACTTTGTCTGCATAAATTATTGTGTTACTATATATGAAATATTGACCATAAAATAACTATATTAATTTAATTTAGCAATGTAAACACTAGTGAAGCTAGACAAGGCTTCAGCCAAATGATTGGACAGAATCTAAAAAGCTAATCCCTTTGAATCTAGGTAGACTGGTACTTAAATTATCCTAAGTGAGTTTCTAGCCATTCCTTAAAAATAGAAAATATTTATGTAAAGAAATAGGCAGGTGAATGCAATTTTCTGAGAAAAAATATCCAGGGATATAAATGAAAGTCAGTTGCAACCTCTATTTCATAAGAGTCTGTTCTTCAGGGATTTTTCAACTTCATTTTGCAACATCAAGTAGCTCAATTATTTTGAGTAAGCATATGTACTTTTAAGTGGTTTTTCAAACTGAATTGGCTGAACATTTTAAGGTTTAGTGCTCACTAAATGTTATATGGAGCCAGGAAAAAAATGGATAGTAAAATTGTAGGGACTCCCCAAATTATTAACATTTCATTCTTCTCTGAGCAAGAAAATAGCATCAAGTATATTTATATAAGGTAGAATGATGTCTTAGAATACATAAGTCATCCACATGCTTGAAGTGTGCTCAGGGATACTGAACATTTGGTTTAGTCTTGCAGACATGCCATAAAATAGAAGGTTTTTTGCTGACTAATACATTGAAACAAGGCCTTCTTATTAAATTGGCGCAGTGGCCCAAAAGATCTTATATATCTATAATTTTATAGATATAACTTTATTCTGTGACATCATTTTAAAGTCTTCCAATAAATAGAATTTTTTAAATCCACCTTCAAAACACCTTAGAACATCATTTTTCATTAATGCTATGAGTAAGCATGTAAAATTTTATCTTCAAAGGATTTTTGCCATAAAAAGCTGAAAAGAGCAAGAAAGAAATGGTTCAGAGACTTGTCCTTTAGGAAGACTAACTTCTGTAAACAGATAATGGAATAGGAGGCAAATCCCAGCCTTGACCTAGTTCAGACTATTTAAATCACATTATTAAAAATAAAATAAAAAGTCTAAGTACAATTTATCTGGAATGTAACATTTCTGAAATCAATAAAAGGTTTGAGTAAATATCAGATAAAAGGCACTCTCATAGTGAATTAACAATTGCATGCTGTCTTTTTTGCCGAAAAACATATCACAACTCAATCAGAAAAGCTCTATTAAAAAATGGGCAAAGAACTTGAATACATATTTCTCCAAAGAAGATATACAGATGATCAATAAGCACATGAAAGGATGCTCAACACCATTAATCATTATGCAAATGCAGATCAAAACCACAATGAGATACACCCATTCGGGTGGCTGCTGTAAAATAATAATAATAATAATAAATAATTAGAAAAAAACAGAAAATGACAAATGTTGGTGTGGATGTGGAGAAATTGAAACCCTGTAAATAGTTGGTGGGAATGTAAAACAGGGCTGCAGCTATGGAAAAGAATATATGTGTCAGTTCCTTAAAAAAAAAAAAAGTAGAATAACAATATAATCCAATATTCCCACATGTGGGTAGATAACCAGAAGTATTGAAAGCAGGGTAAGGAAGACATATTTGCATCCATGTTCATAGCAGCATTACTCACAATAGCTAAAAAGTGAAGAAAGCAACATAAACATCCATCAATGGATGAATGAGTGAATAATCAGTGTACATATCCATACAGTGGAATATTGTTCAGCTTTTAAAAAGAAAGAAATTCTGACACATGCTACAACATGCATGAACCTTGAGGACACTATACTAAGTGAAATAAGTCACGAAAGGACAAGTACTGTACGATTCCATTTATGTGAGGTTCCTACAAGAGTCAAATTCATAGAAACAGAAAGTAGAATGGTGATTGCCAGGGTCTGGGTGGGGAGAGAAATGGGGATTTATTGTTTAACGGGGACAGAGTTTCAATTTTGCAAGATGGAAGAGTCCTGTGGATGGATAGTGGTGATGGTAGCACAATAATATGAATACACTTATTGCCACTGAACTGTACATTTAAAAATGTTTAAGGTCATAAATTTTATGCTATATATATTTACATAATTAATGAACAAAGAACAGAATATATATCAATATCATTTTTGGTATAAATTCTTCAGACTTAAATAAGTTTTAATACTGTGTTCATTTTACTCACCATCCTATCTCCAGTTTCAAGCACAACTGCTGCTGCTGCTAAGTCACTTCAGTCGTGTCTGCCTCCGTGTGACCCCATAGACGGCAGCCCACCAGGCGCCCCCATCCCTGGGATTCTCCAGGCAAGAACACTGGAGTGGGTTGCCATTTCCTTCTCCAATATGTGAAAGTGAAAAGTGAAAGTGAAGCTGCTCAGTCGTGTCCGACTCTTAGCGACGCCATGGACCACAGCCTACCAGGCTCCTCCATCCATGGGATTTTCCAGGCAAGAGTACCGGAGTGGGGTGCCATTGCCTTCTCCGTCAAACACAACTAGGCATTCAATAAATAGTCTTCACTTAATCTGAAGACTGCAAGGATCCCATATGACTCTCCCATGAGTTGTATAATTTGCTATCACTAGTACTTAAATAGAAAAATTTGATGTTACAATCATACCTAGAAGTTTATTAACATCAAGTACTTTACAAGACACAGCAACAACTTTCTATATCATTGTTTCTCTATTTCAAGCGATTATGCACAAATAAAGATGGCAAGCAAAGACCAGGATGATTTCTATGGTGACCCATATTTAGAATTAAGATGATGGCCATCACGTGACCTTCTCAAATGAGCGACCCATAAATAATACAGCTTTTTAGAGTGCCACACAGTAGACGTACAATTTAAACTTTCCAGGAACTTCAGATATCATGGTACAAGATGAAAATGGGGGTGCAGAACTAAGAAGAGATTCAAAGGGAAGGATAAGTGCTAGCGGTAAAGAATGCAGGAGATATGAGATACATGGGTTCAATCCCTGAGTCAGGAAGAACCGCTGTAATAGGAAATGGTAAACCACTCCAGTATTCTTGCCTGGAAAACTCCATGGGCAGAGGAGCTTGGTGAGCTACAGTCCATGGGGCCACAAAGAAGCTGAGTCTCACACACACACACACACACACACACACACACACACACACAACTATAATAAAGAAGTATCAGCAAAGCACAAAGGTAAAAGAGCTTATAAAGCTAATGTTTAGAAAGCGTCTAAGTTCTGGGATCATCTAGTTATGTTTCTATTATGTCATTTCATCTCATCCTTACATGAACTCTGCTCTTACATGAACTGTCAGTTTTACAGATTAAAAAATGGACATTCAGAGAAGTTAAAAGAAAAGGATATTATCTTTCAGGTGACAGATTCAGGAAATGAACACAGGTCTTAATGAGGTAAACCCGTATTGTTCCACAATTATGTGAGCAGTTCCACTTGACAAGTGGTGGTAAGAGAGCTGAAAGGACTTTGAAGATTTAAAGACATATGGAAGAAGGGTTTAAATTATTTGATTGGTTTCTCAAAGCAGTAAGTGCCTTCCATCTGTTCCTGCACTCAATGACCATAATGATAAAAAAATAAATATGCTGTCCATAAACATTTATATATGCCCATAAACATATATACATGTATATATAGGAGGAAGAGAACCTTCATCCCATAGGATGCCAAATGCTCCGCTATGTGCCAGCAAAGATTATAGGACAAGCCTTTGTGTAGAAACCTGATTGTTACAGAGCAACTCAATCTTTAGACATTTAAAAATGTTGTCCCTAAAATCTGTAAGGTGACACATAATTCTCTCTATGTTAAGATTTTGGTTCTTCTCTCATCTTTCATTCATTCTGAGCTGACTTTTTATTTCCTCTTCCTCCTTTTCTCCCCACTTTATTTCACAGAAGGACAGCTTCACATTTGCAGAACTCCAGTGACTTTTCTCCACACAGAAGTGGCAGCAGGCAGCTTTACCACCAAGTGAGGTGGAAATTTTCTAATGTCAAACAGGCTGGTGGGAGAGGCCCCTGGAGCCTCACAAGATGAACGAGGCCTCTCTGTGTGCGCCGCCTTGCTTCACAGCAGCTCGCGGAGGAAGCATTCGTTTCCTCCAGGGGCCCTGCTACAGAGCACACTTCCGGAACATTCTTAAGCGTTCAAGTCAAACCTCAGTCTTCTGGCAAGTCTGTCTCAGGAGTGGAAAGATGAGTTTAAGTCATGACAAGCAGAAAACTGACTTTGAAGTATTTCTCACTTACATCTCCTCCTTGTCCTTATTTGTCTTTTTTGAAGTGGAAAGTAAAAAGGAAGCCACAACTATTAGTGTGACTATTCAGGAGAGCTTGGAGACAGAAGGTCTTGCAGGGGAGAGACAGTGCAGTCGGGCAGAGCAGAAAATGATGAGCCTTCCAGCCTGCGGACACGGGCTCGCTTACACAGACTCACTTTCCATCCTACCCAGACCCCTGCAAGGATCTGCAACAACATGATGTCTTGATCTTGCCTCTGTTACCCTTTGCAGTGGAGGAAATGGTATGTGGACTTTTCCAAAATGCCAACCATCTACCTGGTAGAGCTGTCAGGATGCAAAGCAGAAATAGAAGCACAGATGCAGAGGACAGGAGTATGGATCCAGAGCAGGAAAATAGGGGTGGATATATTGGCGTATTTGGCATTGACATGTATACACTACTGTGTATAAAATAGATAATTAATGAGAACCTACTGAATAGCACAGAGGCAAAAAAAAGGTACAGTCTGTTTGGAGGACATGCTAACCTCAAAAATTCATTCCAACATACAGTAGTTGCAGACAAATACTGTTTGATTCCACTTATATGAGGTACCTAGAATAATAAAATTCATAGAATCAAAAATTATATTGGTAGATGCTAGGGCCTGGGGCATGGGGGGATGGAGAATTGGTGTTTAATGGAGACAGTCTCAGCTTAGGATAGTGAAAAATCGAGGAGATGGATGATGGTGACAGCTGTGCAGTGATGTGAATGTGCTTGCTGTCACTGAGCTGTTTCCTTGAATATGGTTAAAATAGTGTGTTTTATATGACTTTTACCACAATTAAAGAAAAAATGTTTTAAACCATAATGATAAAAAAACTAACAAGTGGGATGACACCATACACTGTCTTCCTACCTGGTAATGACATGAGTGTATTTGACATGGTATTCTGGATTTTCATGAAATCTTATAGAGTTTTAGGACTTTAGTGATTTAGACTATTGGCGTGATAGACACAGACAGTGAATGACTTTTAAAGGTAAATTGATAACTTTTCCGGCAACTGAAAAACATGAAGGTAATTTGTCCTGGTCCAATGTGGTTGTCATTTTTGATTTGTCATAGGATCTGAGATAAAATTCTTTATGTAAAAATATGTAATGATGACACCCTGCACTTTAACACATTCACTTTCAAATCTCCATTAAAGTTTCTATTAGGAACTTTCCTAGTATCCAGTGGCTACGACTTCACTTTCCAATGCAGGAGGTAGGGGTTCAATCCTTAGCTGGGAAGTTAAGATCCCACATGCTTGTGGCCAAAAAAAAAAAAAGTACAAAGCACATAACAGAAGTAATATTGTAACAAATTCAATAAAGACTTTTTAAATGGTTTACATTTAAAAAAATCCTAAAATTTTTCTACCATTGTATATGATTTTATGAAAACATTTTTTATAAAGTGTGTAATTTTGGAAGAAATGTATTAAAAAATAATAGTGAGATGGTGTTTATTGGGACATTAACATGGAACAAACTTTAAAGCTATTATTTTTGTTTAGGTTACTTAACCTATAAATTACTATAGGTTACTATGACATATAGCATATAAATTAATTTTCTATAGCTGTTGTAACAAATAATACAAATTTAGTGGCTTAAAACAACAGAAATGCATCATTTCACAGTTCTGTAGGTTAGAAATCCAATACAGACTTCACTGAGCTAAGATCAAAGTGCCGGGTGAGCTGGGTTCCTTTGTAGAGGCTCTAGGAGAGAACGTGTTTTATTGCTTTTCCCAACTTCTATAGGCTACCTGTATTCCTGTGCTCGTGGAATTTCATTTTCAGGGTCATTTTCAAAGTCAGCAATAGCAGGTTCAATCTCTATCAAACATGATCATCTCTGGGGTTCTCTATTCTGCTTCTTCTCCACTTTTAAGGAGTCATGTGATTAGATATAGCCCACCCACTAATACAAGGTAATCTCCTCATTTTAAAGTCAACTGATTTAGCAACCTTAGTTGCATCTGCAACCTAATTCCCTTTTGTGTTATGAAGCAATATTCACAGATTCCAGGGACTAGGATGTGGACATTTGCAGACAGAAAGTATTATTCAACTATAGTATCTATTTATAGCAGAATATGATAGTTTATTATGACTATTATAGGTCTAATATACTGCTCCTGTATCTAAGACATGGGCTAAATAACTCATGAAGCATAGGATTGTTTTCCATACATTATGAAATAATCATTATCAATTTGAAATATGCAACATTATTTGTGCATTTCTCTTTGTATCCCAGTTGAGATCATTTCTACTAAGTGATGTATTTTTCAGTAGGAATGTAAAACAGAATAAGACAAAGAGAAATAAGTAGAAGCCTTAAATTATCAGTTTCAAAGGGCTGAATGCTGCCTGACTGAAATCACGGCCAGGGAGTAAACCAGCTGTCATGCAATTTGGGACAAATCACAACGTCACTGTGCTTGCCAGTCTGAGCTCCAGGACAACCTCACCAAAACCAGCTGAGACCGAAGGCTGGAACTGGCCCCAGGCTTTTGCAGGAAACCTGACCCAAAATCTGTGTTGCATCAGCTCTGAACTTCCCCAGATCATATCTGGCCTGCAGAACGTAGTAGTGCTTTAATATCCCTCTTTATACACTGAGCACTAAGAAGAGAGACATTCGCCAAACAGTTACCACGAGCCAGGTACTTCTCATAGGGGTTATATAGTCTATTGCTATTAATACAAATATTACAACATTTTACTTGCATAACAAAGAATTTTGTCTCTTCCACAGCCCTCACTGTAAAAATAAAGAAACTGAGGCTCAGTGAGTAACAAAGTTGGGATTTGAATACTGGTCATTTTAATCCCAAAGGTTGTAGTCGTTTCTTTACATCACACTAAGTCTTTAATCCAAAATCATAACACATAGTCAAAAACAGGAAACAGGAAAAGGAGTTTCTTAAAATTTACCTGTAAATTTAAGTTGTACTGAATATAATTTTTAAATAACAGTTAAAATAATGCAATTCTCAGGTTCATGTAAATGGAAATTTTCATAGTAATCCCAAGAGCTAACTTCATCCCTATTTTACTTCCAGTCTCTAATACAGGGTAAGTCAAATAATAGCCTCCCCAAAAGGTCCATGACATAATCCTGGGAACCTGTAAATACTTTATTTACAGTCCAGGGAAAGGGAAAACTGAAATTAGCAGACCAGATAGAGATTACACTGGATTATCCGGGTGAAATCACAAGTGGCCTTCAGTGGAGAAGAGGGAGGCAGATGTGTCAGAACCAGAGAAAGACTTGCCTGGCCATTGCCAGCTATAAAGGTGAAGGGGATTCATAGACTAGGCAATGTGGGAAGTCTCAGGAAACTGAAAAAGGCAAGCAGACAACTCTCCCCTAGAGCCTCCAGGAAGGAATGTAGCCTTGCCGACCTTTAATTTTAGTCCACTGATGCCAATGCTGGACTTCTAACCTCTAAACTATTAGATAATATATTTGAGTTGTTTTCAAATCATGAAAGGTTTGTGGTGGTTTGTTACAACAACAATAAAATACTAATACAATGGGTATTAATTAGACCCACTCAGGGACAGAAGAACCAGGCACCATAAAGGGACTCTGGAGGCTTGTTACTGTTTCCATGACCTAGAAGTTCATTTCTGAAAGAGAAAATAGCATCTATGTGATGGTTCTAGATCTGGTGGAAGGAAGGAGAAAGGAGACTTAGAAAGACATCAGGTGGACATTTTGGGAGATTTTTTAAATGATCTTCCTTCAGATGTTATCATTTACTACTTTGTTTAGTCTTTTTAAATTTGTCATAATCCTAATTAAAAGAAAATATAATTTGCTTTGCATCTGTCATAACCAAATAAGAAGAGATGATTACTTGAAATACAAAGCAATTTTTAAAGTTGACTCTTCCACATTTAGCATTTCACTTTTCAAATCTTCAGAAATTCTGGATTTCCAGTTTTTGTGCATTCTTTTATCAAAAATAACTCAACTAGACATTAACGGTACAACACTGAACTGTACTGCAAAAGTCCAGTTCAGGTTCTTTCTTCCTATATTTCTCCATAAAAGTGTATTTTCTGTTTTCAGAGAAATCTTGAATTATTTTTAAATTATCCTAAACAGAAATTGTTTCAGGAAAAACACTTCTTACTTTAAATAGAAAAATAATATTTGAGCAATGTTTGTCTCTAAATTACTGAAACAGACAAACACTACAGGCTGTTCATCTTAAAAGTACCATTAGTGGAATTAAGCAACTGTAAGGCATTGTTGCCCAAATTTTTAGGTTCAACAATTAGGATGGGGGGGTTCACATTGTGGCAAATCACTGATGAAAATAACTGAAGATGGAAAAGGATGGGTGGTTTTAAGACAAAAGAAGAGCTCATAAAAATAAGGGGGTTAGAAAATAGCCTCCCGATGGAGATGTATCTGGCAGTGCTAACAAATATCTCCACAACCTTGATTTCCCTCGTGGTGCTTTCTGAGCGCAAGGGCTGGGCAGCCGAACCAAAATGGATGGCAATAATTAGATTCTGATGAGTGAAGGACCCACATGAGGGCCAATGTTTCTGGAAGAGCTAATGAAAGGAGAGGAAATCGCCGGGCTTCACTAGGATGTAAAATGGATGCAGAGCCTCCAAAAGTATTTTAAATGACTGGCTTCTTTTTCCCACTCATCTAACAGCACATTTGACGGGGGAAGGGGGATGTACACAGAAAATGGATCACCAGTGGAGAATTTTAATATGTGCACACTTCCAGTATAAGATTCAGGGTCACCCAGAGCTATTATTCAAAGTCAGTATCAGACCATTTAATTTTCTGCTTCAGTTCCCTTCCTGCTTCTCCTCCTCCAACCCCAGTCTCATGGTCACACACCATCTTCTCACTTTGCTGTCCTTCTGCCTCTTCGGAGCGCTGCTTGGATCCTGAATGGAGTTTTATGACTGATGTCTCCAGGTACTGTATCTATTCTTAATGAAATCCTAGGTGCTGTGAGGGCTAATAGCTCAACAAGCATTTTTATAACCCACAAAGAAAGCGTGTAGAGCAGACGTGGGCATAGTTAGCACTCAGCTTGGTAAATAGAAAGCAGGACATGGGTGGTACCGTTGAGACTGTTAATGATTTGTGCTGCCTCTCACATCAGCTGGCTTTTCTCTTCCGCCCCTTACCGGAAGCCCCAGAATCCATTTTAAGTT